GTTAGGTCTCACCTCCCCATACACGCTTTGCAACAATGGTAGGTCACCTCTTTTAGTACTAAGCACTGTCAGGTTTGACACAATAAGTCAGATCCTGTAGCCCTGTAAGCGGCGAAAAACAGTGAAAAGAACAAGTTCACCATGCAAACCAGACGGAAAAAAGGGAGGCTGAGTTGGAGGGGCCGGCAGACAGGCGGAAGATATTGGGAGCCGGACTATACCTCCTCCGGTCATAACATGGGGAAAGGCCAGCACATCCCCCTCGATTTGCACCCGTCCGTCCCAACAGAGGTCATGCACCGCAGCCCCAGCAATCCGTCAACCCGGAAGATGGGAGCCTGCGATCGAGACAGCAGAACCCCGATCCTCCCACCTTGTCCGGGGACCGGCCTGCACAGTTGAATGTCGGGAAAACTGGTGTGACCATCCCCCCGCCCCAGGGTCCATCAGGCCAGGCGACTGCATTGGGCAAGGAGGGGGACGGGAATGTGCAGAGTTCTCAACCTGCACAGACTCAAACAACACAACAGCAACAACAACAACAACACCAGCAACAACCCGATATGCATGACCACAATCAGTGTGACAAAGGACAGAGCACTGTGTTTAAAAAAACGAGAGACACTCATGCTCTCATGCAAGCTCTGGCAGCATCCGGGGACACCACGTCAGAGGAGCCACTAGCGCTAGACGCCATAGGCCTCATGAAGGTTCACTTCATCCAGAAACTGCACATCAAGCCAGTCATGAAATACATCGAAAAGAATGGCTTTATCTACCCTCATGCAATCTTCCCTCCGCAAGCAGTTGCAAATCGTAATATGATCTTTGCAAATAATGCAATTCAATTTGTGTTCCCTGCGTCAACAGAGGAAGCGCCCGTGAACGAGAAACTAAGATGGGTGAATGGACGACTGCGATTGGTTAAAACCAGCGATCAAGCAGTCATGGACCACTTCCTTGTCAAGACGGCAGGACCGGGGATCATAACAGTCGTCACCATATATCCGATTGATCATGCGAACCTTCTTAAGCTGTCGCCACTCAGATACAAAGGACAGTCGGTTCAGATCAGAAGATGGGAACCTTTGACCCCCTTCACAGCTGACCAGCGCAGGGAACAACTTATGCGGAACCACTTCTGGGTGGAATTCCGTTTCGCCCCGTTCAGCGTACAAGGAACTATCTCGGCAGATCTGCACCAAATAGCTCCTGTTTTGGGATACATTAACGATGTTCCCTAATTCCTCCCCAAGCGGGACGACACACTATTGGTAGCGGTTGACTGAGACCCTTCAGTCGGTTTCCCAGTCAGTGGCCAATGGTCCTTCTCATTAGAAGACAGGACCTACGCAGT